GCCTGGCAGCCCCAGCCTAGCCCCAGCCTCGCCTGGAACGGCCCTGGCCCCGGCCGGGCGGCCTCAGCCCCTCACCGCTCCTGCTTTCCCCCTTCAGGCCTTCACGGAGCTCCAGGCCAAGGTAATAGATACGCAGCAGAAAGTGAAGCTTGCCGACATCCAGATCGAGCAGCTGAGCAGGACGAAGAAGCACGCGCACCTCACTGACACGGAGATCATGACGCTGGTGGATGAGACCCGCATGTATGAGGGTGTAGGGAGAATGTGAGTATCATACTGGCCTGTGGGGCGAGTAGGGGAAGGCCTCATCGCTGTACTCTTCCAGACTGCTGAGAAAACAGCTCACAGACGCCTTGTGCCTACCTTGTGCTGGTAGTCAAATGAGGTAGCAGGTATAATGGTAGCCTTGCATATGGGGAGACGTTCCTTGCCTCAGTACTTAAAAGGCCTAAGGCTGCTGCCTCAGGCCAAAGATTCTTCCCTACTGTATGGCTGCTTCATGAAGAATATAGCGTGTGTGCATCCATTGAGGCATACTGGGCTTTATCTCTTGGCATCAGTTGCCAGCAGTCTTTGTTACAACTTTTATTGCCTTTGTGTGCTTTTGCTTTTTGGCTTTGCTCTTGGCCTTAATGGTCTTATTTGGACTGTCTGGAAATTTTGTAAGCTAGATTGCTAGAACAGGGTTCTAGTGACAAACTGTGTTTGCAAGAAGATGTCACAAACCTATGTAGCCATTCGTGATGGAATAGTACACCATTCCTGACGTAGTTCATGTCAAACTCTATCAAAAACACCCATGCCCTTATGCAGTGCATATACTCAGGGCTCTGCTTGCACAAATGTTCTACAGAAATGCAATATCATGTCAATGAATGTCAGTGCTTGCCATTGGCCAGATTTTTTTAAAGACTTGTAAGAGAGCGTGAAGCTTGTTTGCAGTCGCTGTGCAGCTGTAAAGAAAGTAGTACTTTGATGTGTTGGATGGATATCAAAACATCTTAGACTAGAATTAACATGTTTTGATTAACTCTGACAACCCACTTCTGTTTGACTTTAACAGCCTCTTATAGAAGACCACACAAACCAGTTTCAAAAGCTGATAATGCATGCTTACTAAATAAACATCACAGTAACTTTGTGCAAGACTTGAGAGTACTGTGATTTTTCTGTTTCATTGCAAGTTGGGTAACAGGGATGACTATGCTTAGCTAGGGATGTGGTTTTGTGAAACACTGAATCTGATGTAACTGCTGCCAAAAGGGATGATTGTGTCTACTTCTTCCCCACCTGTGTTTCCCCTACCTTCTCTGTGTTGAAGTAGGTGATTGCGCAACCATGCAGTGAGTTTCATCAGCTTGCTGATTCAGTGAACAAGTTGTTCACCAAAAATGCCCTGGTCTGCCTTCCGTCTGACCACAAAATCTCTAGATCCAGTCTCAGGAACTGGAACTGGGAAGTGAGGAATGGTACGCAGATTGCATTTTACTGTGAGTTTTCAGATGAGACCAATGGAAAAACGAAGTTGTACCCAGACTTACGGAGATGCTCAGTGTGACACGCAGCATCCTTCTGAATTGCGTTGTATGGCTCCGACTTGCATTGTGTGGCTCCCAGTAAATAAATTTTTCCATGCAGTTGAATTAGATGTTCGGTTTGTGTGGGGATGTTAGCAACTGGTACCTCTAAAGGAAACAGATTTTTGTCCCCTTTCAAGAGGTGGAGTGACTGTAATATGGTCTGGGAGCAGGCTATAGGTGTAGAGAACACTAATGTTCAAAGCAGTGTGACAAGACAACTCATAAGGGATTGTGTTTTTTGGTTTTTTTGTTTGGTGGGTGGGAGTCACAGCAGACAAACTAAGAGCAGAAGATAATTTTGGAGGTTCAAAAATATATATATTTATTTTAATCTTAAAGCTAAATACTTCTGTATTGAAAAATCATACAGATTAATTTAAAAGAGTGAGTGTATCAGTCTTTACGATGAAGTAAAGTAGTATTGCTCGCAAATGAGATGTGAGTGGCAAATGGTATCGGTTCCTGCACTGGCTGAATTGCATTGTGCTGCTTTCTATTTCTCTTCCACTTATGAGACACCTTTCTTCTTTGCTTCCTAGACCACTTATGCTTTTTCTGTTTGCAGTAGTTGCTGGAGTGAGTGTCTTTTAGGGGGTCATACTCTGCCTGCCTTTCCATGACCAGATAGGGTGCTGTAGGCCCTGCTGGGCAGCTCTCTATTCCTCCGGGATGGTAAGGGTACTAACTGAAGATATTTGCCTTATGATAGCATTTAAAGGCTGGACTCTTTATGGGTTTTGTTGCATCAGTCACTATGCAAATGCAGATTAAGAGATTGCTCTCGCTGTAAATACTCTTCAGTCACTGAAGTTTGTTTGTTTGTTTTTTCTTCTTTACCTTGATATCATGGTATTTCTGAGCTCTGCCTATTCTAGCCATGGCATTGAAGGATGTCTCGCAAATTGGCATTCTGTTCTGGTAAGCTCTGGGTCACTCTCCAGTGTGAAGATCTCACACGAGGAACACAAGACTCTTCCTGTAACCACTTCTGACCACTAGCAGAGAATTTATTGCTGAAATTCAGGCATTTGGTGAAGCAGGCTACAGATACATTTAAGCAGGAGCTAATTCAAGGGCAGTCTGCTATCTTGTGTTCCACAGGAGACCAAAGGAAGTGGTTATTAGAGTTCTTCTGGCTGCAAAATCCATGTTCTGTGAAGTGAAATTGCAAGTTTTTTTTATTCATTGACATCATTGACTTGCACAGGTATGGGAGTTTAGCCACCGAAGGGATATTTGTGATTTCTTTGCACAATTTAGCATTAGCCAGCGTGACCAAAAGAGATGTAGATGTTTCCTGTAAATAATGTTAGAGTTCTAGCAAGTTTCAGTTATCCAGAAGAGATGGACTTCTGCATCAGTTTTAGCTCTGACTACTTGTGCTCTTCTGAAAACTTGCTTGAATAGCTAAATTCTTGGAAGTAGGCTTTATATTTCTAGTCCTGTGCTCAATTCTATTTTGCTTCTTAACCCATTTAAGCTGCTATATAGAATCTGGCTCTTGATAGAGTATCTGTGTGTTTTCTCCAGCTGCAGTAGCTGGGATGTGTGCATGGGGGTAATACCTACACTTAACATATTTTATTTTGTAGAAAAAGACTCTCTGATCTTCCATGAAAGTGGAAGAATGGAGAAACTGTAGTGATGTGCTGCACCCCAGAAGGAAGTCTGCATAATTTGGTACTCACTTCTGCACTACTTGGAAAGCAGTTCTGTGGTTTTTGCTCTGTGAAGCCTGAAACTGTTTTCTTTCCAAGGGACTTTCTCCGCACCACTGCGGAATGTGAGAGTCCATTTGTCATCACTATACTAGTTCTTTTTGCGTTGTAGTGATTGTAACAAAAAAAGTGAACAGGCCAGCCTCACCAGCCCCCACATGTGGTGCTCAGTTTACTTTTACTACAGCTATTTTTGGTTTAACGTAAGAAATGTCAGTGTTGCATAGTACGAGATGATGAATTGCTGTATACTGTACATATCCAAGAGGCTGAGATATCATCTGAGTGGTGGCATCTTGCCAAATACATTTCAGTTCTGTTACTTCATACTCTTTTGAAAGGTCTGTTACGTAGCCCAAGACAATTACCGCTATGTTGAACTTCTGCTTAAGCTATCTGTGAACTGATATCATCATAGTGCTTTGGGAACTATGCTGAAAGTTTAAGCTTCAGAATTCTGTCTGAATATTTGAGACCTTTCCTTTTACATTCTTCTAACCTGTAAATGATGATCTTCTCCACATTATGGGAGACAAAAACATTAAACGCTTATGCTGGACGCAATGAGAGGAGCACTGCAGTTTTTCTTGCCATGGGATACCAAAATGGATACTGACTTTTGGTTTGATATTGCTTTATCATCAGTTTACTTCTACAACAGATGGGAAAGTACTTAAGAAAATGAGCTTAAGAAAGTAAAAATCAAGCAAATACTGTAGCACAACTTCATTTTCAAGGTTTTGTGCTGATAGCTGCATTTAGAGAGAACTAAATGTTCTTAATCACTCATGGGATTTAAGCACGTTCCTAATTTTAGTGTGGTTCTTATTTTGTTTGAAAATGAGACATAATGCATCATTGTTAGCCCACTTTCCTGCACCCCTGAAGACTACAATCACTACTACAAATCACTCTTGCCGTTACACGTTTTTTGCATACAACTGCAATAGTTGCAAGGTGGGTGTTTTTTTCCAGGGGAGGGAGGAAGAGTGGCTCTTTGATTCCACCAGCACAGATCACTGCAGAATATGGTAGCTGTGCCGTGCTTCCTGCTCACGTTTCAAAAGCTCACAAAGAACTGAAGGGCATGCAAGGCTTAATATTTATTATGGTTCAGCTACTAACTATAGGTCAGTTTATGAAACCCGAGTAGCTCTCCAGTACCCCTCTCCTTGGGCAAGGCTTTACGCAGAGTTCAGTACTGAACCCCAGCTGCTGACAAGCTGACAGGTGCTGCAACATTTAAACAAATCCCAGGGACGAGCATATTGGAATTAGCCTCTGGTCAATATGTACATAATAAGTTTGAAGCTCCTCTATTTTGCTGTTGAAAAAGTGAAGTTTTTATTTTCAATACTGCCTGGTCTGTCTAGTGAGTAGAATCAGACACTCAGCAGTGAATAAAGAACAAAATATGTGACCTGCTGCTTGCTACTCAGTTACTGTTTATGCTGTATATTGAATGAGGCAGGGGCACTGGCAGACAGTATGTGTGGAAAGGCTGCATGTCATGATACATGTGCATAAGTGAGCAGGATTTACATTGCACACTTAGATTTTACTTTAGCTTTTTTTTCTAATTTTAAACTGCTTGGGGGTTTGTTGGTTGGTTGGGTTTTTTTCAACCTGAACAGTGTTCTTTAGATTGTATTTGTGAGTGTGTGTTTAAAAGATTGTAGGATCCTTTAGGAAGGTGTTGCAGAAAGCAAAAATCAAACTGGCATGCGCATAGGTAATCCAGAAGATGACTGTACAGGTGTCTTTAACATGAGTAATGAAGTATGTGGTAGCGGTTGCCATTCTTTTCTTGGCCAATCAGTATTATGAGAGAGGATATGTGGAATTTGTCAATGGATTTTGCAGTTAACTGCTGAAAATAGTAAGATGTTAGGAGTCTTGGCTCCTGAGTTCTGTTTCAGGATCAGAAAAGGAGCTTGTTCTGGTGGGCACAGATGAAATTGGAAAA